TAAGAAGCGATTCCTGGATTTCATTCAATTGAGTGGTCGTCTCTTCGATCGTACTCTTCAGACCTTTATTAATGGCTTTCGTTTGTTTGAGTTGTTTCTGGAGATCCGTCTCTTTTTTGGCCGATTTGGTCGACTCATTATCCGAGTCGTCGGTCTTGATCTCAGTGATCGACTCGACTATTGAGGCCGCGTTTGCAGTGCCAGAGGTCTCTCCATCCCTATGTGTCCAACAGTTAGCACCGGGAGGTCCGCCACCACTACTACTCGTCGGCCAATTGCTGTTGCAGTTGTGATCCATTGAGTGGTGATAACTCTGACACGAACTCATACAACAGTGCGAATGGCCGGGCGGTGGCGGCGGGGGTCCCATCGGTTGGTACGGGTTAGCCATTTGGGGGCCGAAGTAGTTGGGGTAGGGCTGGCCCAGCGTTGGCCACAGGGGTTGCGGCCCGAGTGCCGCTCTGGTGGTGAGCGCCAACTGATTGAGTTGAGTGATTGGCGCCATATATGAGACACTGTTTCCCTGCCATTGAGACTGCGGACCAAATGATGGCATATTTATGTTAAGTCCCGCCTTTGAGGTCATCACCGACTGTCCGTTGGACGACATATTCATATCTATAGACACCGCGAGTGGATCGCAATCAACAGATAATGCGTTAAACGTAATGAAGATATCAATCAATAAATGTGTTGTCATTGAATACAACACACAAACAGTGAATACAAAACACAGTTGTATTCACACAACTGTTGATAAGATATGTCTTTACAATACCTGTGCGTTTGGGCTATCGATCCACACGACCTTCAGGTGTGTTCACACTATCACTTGCTTATCACCACAAGAAGATCCACACGACACAACTCACGAGTGGAAACGATAAGACAATTTTCAAAATGCAATTAACAAAAAGCACAGCAAAAATAGCGGACAAACAGTTTGTGTTGCGATATCTGTGTTATGAATGCGAACGCAATGTATGACTGATTTTTTTTGTGCTGTATTTTCAATGCAATGCAATTCAAAATCACTGTTTATTCAACGCTAGTAACGATTGCAACACTGCTTTACACACAGACTGTATGTCACACTGTATTCAATGCATTTTCAATGACTGCTTGCGATAGCGTCGCCATCTGTCCCAACACAGGCGCTCATATAGTGTGACATAGATTTTGACGTATGTATGAAATACAGTGTTGTGTTTGTAATGAGATTTTAAAGTCCACTGATTTTGGCTCAAAATTTTTAAGTGTATTTTATTTTCCACACAAAACACAACACAAATCACAATAAAAACTGGTTTTGCATTCATTTTGAAGGCATTAACAAAAATCCCGACAAATCTAACGAATAGCCGACAAATTGCTCACAAAATTCACTGTATTTTGTGTTTAATAATGACATAAAGAGACCAAACAATGGGAAAACTCAATGGTTTAGTCGTTTCGCAACTCAAACACCGATTTCTTCACTCGTCTTAAGACAAGTGGTTGTGTTTTCTGGTGACACAAAAATCCCATCACTTCTCACAAATCACTACATTATCAACGCATACGTGTATCAAGTCTCGTGATCACCGATCAACTGATCCCATCATCGGATACCACCCCTCGCGATGTCATCACTGCTGAACAGTTGGTGGTCTTTCGCGAAGAGACACCGAAACAAAGCGCTGGTCGGTGTGGGAGTCGTCGGCGCCTTCTATGCCCTCAACC